TCAGCAGGTCCTGAAAGCACTGGAGTTTCTCATACTTTTTGCTCTGCCTTTCCCCAGCGTGTCACCCTCTGAGTGGTTAAAGCTGGGTCACTAGCAGCCTGTGAGAAAGAAAAAGAGAGACTTAAGTCTTTGTTTTTAAGGCAGTGAGCAGGAAATTGCAAACACATCTATTCACATTGCAGTGGTCCCAGTACAACTATGTGGACACACTTAAATGCAAGAGAATTTGGAAATGTATTTCTGACAGGGCAGCCATGAAAGGTAGCAGGTAGTAGGGGTTGGGGACAGATGTATACCTAAAATAGAGAAGGGACCCTAGATCCTGAAGGGAAGAGTAGGTCTCCTCCAGATACCAGTTATGTGTAATCCTTTGGAGAGAACGCCACCAACCCAAGTATGGTCTTTCTGGCTAGGTGTCATCTTTGCAATAGCCAAAAAATAGCAGCTGATTTCACTTGGTGCATTTCAAAGCCCTTCTTCCTTAGAAGGACAGGCTACACAATTTCTAAGACCCAGTGCAAAATAAAAATGCAGGGTCCTTGATTAAAAAATTATTAAGGGGGCCAGCAGGTGTTGTAGTGGTTAAGACAGTGGACTTCCTCCACAAGACTGATTGTAGTTTAAGTCCCAGCCCTGACAGCTCGAAAATCAACGTAGGCACATATGCCTGCAATGCTCAAAGTCTCGGAAAGAGAACAGAGGAGAATAGACTGCGATCCAGCTGTCCCCCACCCCCACTTCAGGGCCAACCCCCTTCTCACTGTCTCTCTCTCTCTGTCTCTCTCCTCTCTGGTGAACAAATTCTTCCTATGGAAAACACTTCAAAGCATTTCCTACTGTAGCCTTTTGTGCATGAATTAAATGCCAATGTTCGAAATCATGATGAGAGTTAAAATGAAGTATCTGATGGATAAAGAATTAAATTTTCCTTTAGTTCTGGGTTTTTTTTTCTAACCAAAATATAAATTTTTCCCTAAAAGTATATCAAATACTGTCAAAGCAAACAATAAATACTAAAAAGACTGTAAGTAGTATTTTCCACCTGCTTTGTCTCTAATAAGTCATCATGGGATTTCTCTCGTTTGGCAGACAGAAGAGCTAAGCTGTGTAGTCAGTCCTGTATGTTGGTATTTCCTCTTTTTTAAATTTTTATTCATCTTTGACTATTTCACCTTCCAAACCACACGCTAAAGGTATTTTTACTGACCATTTTCAGAAAAATCTTGAACATAAAAATCTTTAGCTCTTATAACCTGACTTTGACTCTCTGCCCTTGGCCAGTATTGCTGTGGTGACTAACCTCATTAGATCACGTTTCTAAAACTCGATTTGTATATGGAAAGAACTAGCGAGTACTTGAACATTTCATGACAGCAATGTGGGAAAAGCATTGCTCAGCCAAATTATGGAAGAATCCATAGTCACGTAACATTTATGACATATTTGCACATTTGGTTTCTTGCCCATCTTTGAACAGCAAGTACTTTCCTTAGGCTGTCTTAGATCCTTTACATTCCCTACTTACCGATGGTTTCTTCCCAGACCTCATTTCTTCGTCTTCTGTGTACATTAGGTAGTCACCTTGAATGTGAATTAATGACTTCAATGTCCGTGTAGATGCTGGCCAGAGATAGGGCAAGAAAGTCAGATGGGAAAGGCCAGATAGCAAGTCATGGCAATCAGCAAGTGAAAAATATTCTGGCAGGATTAAGGCAGCCACAGCAGAATGGACAGGAACACGGATTCACACTTCATTGCTGAGGGAAAAATCTACAAGACCTACATGTTTGTTGGCAAATAAATATTAAGAACACTTTCCATGTTTGTAGCAGGGAGAAACAGTATATAATTAAGAAATATTTCTTAAACAAGTTATAAAAAGGAATATAAAATAGCCATAATGTTTTCAGAATGAAAAGAGCATGGGAAATGATATCACACTTGACCCATAACATATCTTTTTTTTTTTTTTCTCCCTAAGAGCTTTTCCCTTAGGTCATTTGTACTGACAGGGGAGAGAGAGAGAGACAGACCAGAGACACAGTGAGGGGGAAAGTCGGACATCACCAGCTACGCAAGACAGATGGCCACGCCACAATCACTTCTCCTCCATTTCCCTCCTGGGATTGTGGGCACTCACACACACATGCCCAGCTTGATTTTCAACCACTGGGTTCAAAACTTGAACCGTGGTCAGCCTTGGGGAGTCCAGCAATGTAACTGCTACACCGTCTGCTGCTCCTATGTGACATATCTTAACAAGTTCACTGAATGATGTTTATTAGATGTCTAATATTTACTTACAAAGAGCAATGTGCTTATAAGATTTTTTTATGTTAAGTCACTATGTTCATCAAGAGATATGTGGACTCACCCCATTTTTCACAACCTTTTACCTAGAATTTCCAACGTTGTAATCACCCATGCAACAAAATAGGTCCATGTATCCGTGCAACAAAACCTTCAAAAATTTAATTTATCTGTATATATAGCCTTAACATTCTCTCTCTTTCACTATAAATTTCACTGTTTTCTATGAGTTTCCTAGGACATTTTTTTTTTGTATATCACTATACTGTTTAATAGTGGCAGCTTATCTTTGTTCATCAATACAGGCCTGAATTTCCATGAAAATGCACATTTCCATTTAAATGAAGTGAGCAACTATGTTGCTTAGGAGGCTATCTAGATCATTCATCTCCTTCAACTTTTTTGCATCATAAAATAAAATACTGTGGGCAGAAGACTGAAAACAGAAATTCCCAGGCTAAAGGAACCAAGTCAGATTAGAGTAAAATCATTATTTTAGACATATCTTGAGAGATAATGAGAAACTAGTAAACTGAATTTTAATCATGGTCTGGAAAAGGTCATTGAAAGACTATCCTTTTTTTAGGGCAGTACTGAACCTAAACCATTATAGAAAGAATTTGCTTAGCAGAGTATCTATAATTTTGAAACATTATTTCATTGAAAAGAATCATTCTTGTGTTTCTAAGCCCATAGGGCACCCTCCTTAGGTTTGACCTTCCATCTCCCCCTTGTCTCAATGGAAATGCACAATATCTTCTTGTCATTCAGAGTCTCTCCTATCTATACAGAACTCATTATTGCCTTAACTGTCAGCCTTTTCTTTTACTGGCTTAGTGTCATCATATTTTTTCTTTCTTCCTAGAATAGTGCAGCAAGTTTTAACTGTTGGTTTCTCAGCAGTTACCTGCAGGTTAAAAAGTTAAAAGGAAAACAAAAAGGATACAGAAAAAATGAGTGTCAATATGAAAATCTATTGAACTTAATTTTTTGGTTCTGTCATTGACATCTGGTTCGAGATTGCATTTGCCCTTGATAATGTACAAGGCAATATGTTTACTTTTCATGCCAACTCCAAATTCCTCTGCTACCCCAGCCTAACCAGCTTCTTTTTCTACTCTAGAATCTGTTATGTTTTAGTTATCTTAAAGAAACTCCTTCATCCCCCTTTTTATTTTCCCCTCTTTTATAATCATTTTATGCTTTCTTGCAACATGACAGCAGAAATGTAGGCAGTATGCCAGATGTGTCTTCACAATTCTCTTTTTATAAGAAGAAACATGTGTTTATGGCTCATTTCCTCTATGTTTAAGGATGAGATGATTTTCCCAAATGCAGGTTTTGTTCTTGTCCATCAATTTAAAGGACTTATGGTCTAGGTCAGATTAATTTTCTCATATTTTTAAGACTCTTTTGCATAACCGATAGGCTGACAGTAAGGTCAACAACAGATTCTGGCAAGGCCCCTTGTGCCTTTTACTGATGGATTTTTTAGCGTTCTGAATTAAATGACGTAATGAAAAATCGGCCCTCCTCATTCTTGTAAACATTACGATATGAATAAAAAAGAGAAGCTGAAGCAAGATTGCCACAGGTTTGAATCGCAGCTCTGTTACTAACTCACTCTGTGACCTTCAGCAATTTAGTAATCTTGTAGAAATTTGATTTGCTCATCTATGAAATGAATT